CATATTTTGGATAGCTTTATTTGATCTAAAGGTATGTCTTCAGAAAGTAATATCAGAAATGTCATAAATTCATCAGTGAGTGATAATGTCTTTTAGTAGGGAATTATGTCTGTCTGAATATTTTGTAACATTAGATGTGATTGTTTAAAACTGTGGAATGTAATAAAATTTAATTTAGTGATGAAATGTTATTTTCCCTTTATTTCGTTATATTTAACCAATTTTGTATTTAAGTACAATGACAATAAAGATTATACTTATTTAATAAAGTTAGTGATGTTTTTATAGAAAAGCTGATTTATTAGGAAAATGTACTCATCAGAATGCATTTATAAACTTCATTTTTTTATTATACTGGTATTGCTTTTGGGGAAAAAAAACACAGCCGGAAAATGGAACTACTTGGCACAATCCTGAGCCCCCAGAGGATATAGGCACTGAGAAAGATCGTGCTAATTGCCCTTTCTATAGTAAAACTGGAGCATGCAGATTTGGAAACAGGTAATTCAATCCCAATTGAATAATTAAAATAACGGTTTTTTATACAATGTTAATTAATACTTAAACATTTTAGCTTATATCTGAAAGATGAAATTTAGTCACTGAAAGATATTCCATCTTGATATGAATGTTCACCAGTTTTAATATATGCACACACTTTTTATTCATATTAACCTATGACATATTGTGTTCCATCCTTTTCCCCAGGAATATTGGTAATGTTGTTCTTGCTTTGCTGTTAATTTATAAAATAATGTTTTATTTTAACTTACAATAACACTTTTAATGTTGTACATTTGGTAATGCATAGAATGACAGCTATTGCAATGTTTTAATAATTATTGATGGGCAATCTTCACATGGAAAAGTGATTCATTTCTCCTCCTCCCCCCTCCCTTTTGTGTTCCTCTCCAGATTAGCTTTCATGCACATCATTAAATGGGTAGTTCTGCTCAAGGAGCAAAGGAGCCCATTTTATGTATGAAATTAATGTGGGGTATAAAGTTACTGTTGCTGTGCCGTTTTTATGAACAAGAAAGGTGTCATGGTTGATTAGTTGATTAATTTCAGAAATTTTATACTGTTATTCAGTAACAATAAATTTAAGTTTTAGTGTTTTAGTTAATGGAAATTCACTCGGAACAGTTAAATGGTGAATAAGTAGCCCTATTTTTCAGGAAAGATTTTTATTTAATAAATTCCTTTTAATGGTATAATCTGACACTCCTATTATTTTCCTTTGGATACTTTAGTGAAAAGGCTTCAGTACTGGGTCCTTAGAATAATAAATTCTCATACAAAATCTGTGACAACATATTTTTAGACCTCTGCTATATTTGTGGCAGGTGATGTCAACCTCAAGCCACACCTCAGGGAATTAGGGGCAAAACAATTTTCAAGATATAATTAACTGTATTCTCTTATTTTATTTTTTGTGTTACTCAGAATTATTGTGACAAAATTATTTCTATAATGTTTGTTCTGGAACTTATGCAGGTCTGCTCATTCTTTGTCTTTTCTAGCTGAAGACAAGTGTCAGGATATTGCATAAAATAAAAGGAATTGACCCATACCTTTTTGACTGAGATTTTTAATAGTGAGATGCATGAATCTAAATGTAGTTCAGGACACTTTATAGACAAAAATAAATCCTATATCCTGAAAGAAAAAGCATCATTTAAATGATCCATATATGTTCTTTTTATATCTTTTGACTGGCCAATCTCTCATCACAAGCTTGCATTCTTGAAGACACTTTGGAAATGGGCAGCATGTAAGGTAGCACTTCAGATAAATAGTTTATGAAGTAATGTCTTTTCTCTCCATTTCCTATCCCAAGTGAAAGAAGATTTTGTTTATCTGAAGCTTCTGTGTATGCTACAAGAATTAGGGAGAAAATTGAGGATGACTAATAATAACTGGAGAGTTACTTAAATCAGTGGGTGGGACTCTATAAGTATATATTTAATAATCCAAAATTAAAATGTCGGTTGCTCCAAGAATGGCTTTAAAGTAAGTGATAAATGTTGCTAACATTTATAGTTCACTAGGCTTAATGTTCTAGTGAAACATGTCATACTTGATCAGAGTTTTAGTAGGTTCAGTACCTTTTTCTTTTTAATTGTAGGTGTTCCCGGAAACATCATTATCCAAGCTCTAGTCAGACCCTTCTTGTCAGGAAAATGTTTGTTACTTTTGGGATGGAACAGTCTAGGAGAGATGACTATGACACAGATGCAAGTCTAGAATACAGCGAGGAGGAAATTTATCAGCAGTTCATAGATTTCTATGAAGACGTACTTCCTGAATTCAGAAATGTGGGGAAGGTGATACAATTCAAGGTACGAAAAGACTTTGGTATTTTCTGCATGCCTTAGTTGTGCATTTATAAACTGAGAAATTCTGGAAAATGTAGGATCTGAGTCTTGTGTGAAAGAAGTGGGGAGGCAGAATAGGTTCATATGTTGGATATAAATGACTTTATGTGCTTTTTCTTGCTGAAAAAAATCTGACAAGTGATGCCCCTAAGCCAAACAAGAGTGAAAAAAATGCTGATCCTCTGGTCAGTTTATAAGTGGAAAATAAGGAAGCATTTTTGTCTCCTTTTCTGCCCTTCTGTGTAGCCTTGGCATATTAGTTTCCTTAATGTCTTCTTTGATCCCAACTCTCATTGTCAGGTTGGTGTAACTTGGACACATAAGGAACATTTATAGTCTGACTCTCTATTCCAGCAAGAAAAGAGCTAAATGACCCAGTTGGTCTTAGGTCAAGAAGTTTTAGCTGAATGCCAAAACAAGTTCAAGTACCTGTTGAACTCTTGAGGAATGTAGCAAAATGTTAATTTTAACAGTGAATCAGAAATGGTTTTGAATCTTACAAGCTTACCATCTACTTATGAAACAGCTGTTTGCTTACTAAGATAAGCTAAAAGTGAGCACACAACCAGTTTATAGCTCTGAATAGGATGATGAAATGAATGAATGCTATGAGGATTAGTTTTTTCCAGATATAGTTTGAATGACTTTTTATCTTTTACATAGGTGAGCTGTAACTTTGAACCTCATCTTCGAGGAAATGTGTATGTTCAATATCAGTCGTAAGTATTTAACAATAAACAATTTAACTTAATAAAGATCTTACAAAAAGCTTTAAGGCAAATAATGGGTTCAGCATGTCAGTGGCCCCTTTTGAGCATTAATTTCCTAGAACTCTGGCCTGTTTTGTAAAAGATCTGCAGTGGATTATGTGAATGGGAGTTCCTTCACAAAACCAGGAACCGTTCCTTTTAAAGATTTCCTATCGCACAAAGAATTTTAATCATATTCTGATCCTTCCTATTAAACATTAGGTTAAGATAATTCAGTGCCCATTTGCTTTGACCTTCACAGGTAATCCTTGATTTACAACCAGTCACTTAGAAGTTATAAAAGATATTTATGACCCAGATTTAACAATCCGAGTCCATCCCTCCCCCTCTCCAGAATTTGTGCACTCAGCAGCCTACCCATTTACATATTTGTATCCTGTGGTTACATGCCATGATTCACATTTCTGCCAAAACCCAGAATTTATTTGTTTTCCAGCAAAAACTGCCTTAGTGAACAATGGGTTCACCTAACAACTGTAGTGTTCATGATGGCTGTGTTTGCTCAGCAACTGTTGCAAAAAAAGTTATAAAATTGGACAGTCACGTGGTAACTTGCATAACAACTGTCACAAGTTATGACCATAACTGCAGGTGTGAAGTCGATGACTACTTGTGTAGGACGAGGCATATCAAGATGTTTTGTTTGCTTTGCAGTATCTTGTTTTAATGCTTCTAGTTTCATGACAGTCTAGCAATATGTTCTCAATTTGATTTTTAAAGAGAACAAGAATGTCAGAAAGCTCTCAGTTTATTCAATGGCCGGTGGTATGCAGGGCGGCAGCTGCAGTGTGAGTTATGTCCAGTAACAAGGTGGAAATCAGCTATTTGCGGTAAGTCAGTGGAACTCTTGATAGTTTCTGTCTTTGTGATAGGGGTTTGTTTTGCATTTTTGCAGTGAATCTGCCTAAATATCAATATTTCTAAACTGAGTAGGCTATAATATTGAGGTTTCTATCCAGCAGATTGCTGAGGTCATGCCATAATCTTTCATTGATGAGCTCTCTAGGTCTAAATTGGCGTGTTTCTCTAGGACTTGTAATTTAGTATGATAAAATGCAGCATATTTAGCTACTGGTGTATTATTGAATATACTGGATAAATATCTCTCAGATACATGCAGAGTTATGTATGCGATATTCCAGAAAAAACTAAAAATTTTAAAAACACCTTTGCCTAAATATTTCAGTTCCTTGGTTGATTATATGGATTATATGAATGATGAAGAGGCTTTTTAGATGCCTGTAATATTTTGCAGACATAGATAACTCACAGAGTGTACTGAAAGGAAACATAATCTTGATTTCAAATTCAATAACTATTAAAATAAATCCCTTTTCAGGTTTGTTTGAAAGGCGAATGTGTCCAAGAGGGAAGCACTGTAACTTTCTTCACGCATTCAAAAATCCAAATAATGAATTTTGGGAAGCCAACAGAGATATTCACATTTCCACTGACTGGGCTAAAGAGGCAAGTAAAAACTCTGAAAGGAGAAATAGATTGGGGTACTATGAAGAACATTATAGCAGATCAAGAAGAAGGAACAGTCAAAGTCCCAATCATTCATACAATAAAAGAAATGGCGAATCTGAAAGAAAAAAATCTCATCATAAGCATAAGAAAAGTCATGTTTCTGAGAAATTGGGCAGTCGTGGAAGGCAACAGTCACACAGTAAAAAGAAAAGACGGAATCGCGACAGGAGCCTGACATGTAGTCGTAGCAGAAGTCCATCTCCTACAAGAAATAGAGACAGAAAGACATCTAGTAGCAAAGGAAGGAGTAGCTGAACTTGCTGGAGAATTACTTTTAAGACTTGGATGTGTTTTGAAAAATATTATCTATAGTTCTATTAGATCAGCTGTACGTTGTTGTGCCCTAAAATAAAGTTGTTATGCACTACCCTATCTTAAAAGTTTTGCAATAAATTATAAGAAAAAAATGAAATACATTTCCTGGGACTTGTTTAATTAACGTGCTATGAAGAATGGATGTTCTTTTTTTAATTCTTTAGCTAAAATAAGTATTGTGTTGCAAGTTAAACAACTGGAGTAACAAAAATCTTTGGCTTACACTTTGTTTATAAATAAGTGCATTAAATAAGTCTACTATACTTTCACGTTTGTACAAAATTACATTTTAATTATATTTCCATTCAGCACTCTCAATACTATAAAACACCCTACGAAAAACAGTACTTTGCTAGAATCACCAGCATCCAATATTAGCATGCTTTTTCCATCCTGCTGCTTTCTAAATGTGATGGTATATCTGACTGAGCTGGCCATGGGAGTTGTCAAACTGCTGTGGAGTATTAAATTTGTGAAAAGCTTTCTTTTATTCAGTCATTTTAAGATTAGCCAAAGTCAGCTTGGTGCTGCCACCTGCTGTGACCTGAACACAGGTAATATAAATATACCTCTATAAAGCGCATCTTCCATGCATAGCTGTTGATCTTAGAATTTTTCCTAGTTTGGCATGCTGTTCAAGTTCCTTGTCTTATAGAATTTTTTGCATACCTGTGGATTACAGTGGGCATCTTTTCTACTTCACAGCTTTAATTTTAATTTTAATAGAGCTGTGCAGTGTTTGCAGCATGCTTCTCAAATCATTTCTGAAGCACTCTACTCCTTCAAAAAAATAAGAGTTTTTGAAACTTTACAAAAGAGTTATGAATACCCACATCCCCAAAATGTTGAATTCCTTTTTGTTAAGGAAGCAGATGTGAAATTTGGCTCAGATTTAGTAACTCCACCTATAGTAAAACTACTGCTTACAAAGCAACTACAATTTCATATATTGCAACATTTTTTCTAAATAAGTATACTTCATTCTATCATGACTATAAAACTAGAAAATGTAGAAAATCAGAACGTGGTATTACAAGATTTAACAAATTTTATTATAAGACATAGATTTTGCGATTTGCACCTTTTTTCTTGATTGAATCATTCTTCTGCATTAAAATCCTTTATCAGGTAAGCTGCTGCATTATCTCATGAAGTGACCTGTAGCTCACAAAAACTTATAATAAAATTTTAAAAGATGCTACAAAGTCATATTTGGCTACCATAAACTAACATGGGTCTCAGCTGGCAAATTTTTATTTCAGTTTTCAGAAACTGGTATCAGTAAGTTTAACATTGCTTTATTTCCAAATATGTAAAGCTTTATCATACACATATGGTCCATATATTTATCATTGCAAATGGCTAGATTACTTCCATGCACTGGCATAACAGAAATGAGCTGACATTTAGCAGCCCCATTACTTTTTAAAGAAATTGTTAACTCATTGCTACAATGATTTACATGTCTTAATAACTTACCTTTAAAAGAAGGCAATATTGGTATAAAGTAGTCTGCTTACACAAACATTCCATAAGTTTTTAAATACACAGGCACAGTACTGGAGTAAAAATGGACATTTATTACAACTAAACCAATGAGATACTACACAGTTTACATCACAATGCTTTTTAAACAAACACACAAGGCAACAGTGGAGACCTTAAACACTAAAATGTTTTTGACATTTTAAAATGTTAAGTAATTCCTCCCTATTTCAACCTCACACATAGCAAATGGACCATTCTAATGCCTTGTGAACCTCATTCTTCCAGTTCCCATTAAGTTAAACATAAGACTCCAGTGTATGTATTTCATGTAATCTTTACTAATTCCATAACGCTTCTATTGGACTCAGTATAATGTTTCTGATGTAGCATATTAATGCATTACAATATTTGAGAATATCAATTATAGCAAATTGACCCACCAGAAGGCAGTTTAGTACGTAGTTACATTATTGAAGAGGTCTACATATGAGAAAGTACACACAAGCATATGTAAAGCAACCTACTTTCAGAAATAAAATGCTCTGAACGAAGTTTGCTTCAAACGTATTACAGTATATTTAGCAAAATTCACATGAGGATGAACAAAATATGGCTTTGTAATATCCATGCAGTCTTATGCTATGCATATTTAGAAGTTGTATTTTGATATGTACTACATCATAAAATGTGCATATGCATACCATGGCAGCCAAAAATGTGAACAATGCACTATGATTAAATCTAGAATATAAGGTGGAATATTAATGGGCAGCTACAATTAGTAATATAGCTGTTCAAATTGATTTCAAACAGCAGATAATACTGTAACAGGTAGATATTTTCTAACAATTCATTTTTGTCAAGTGTGTTTCAATATCTGAATTTATCATTTTGAAAAGACTTTCAGTACTTACACTTAAAAAAACTAACACTTTTATATAACTTCAATTTACATTCCCTTTGCAAAATATTAATTCAAGTTAGAATTTTATTCCAAGGAATTTTTACAATATTTATAACTGAATTTTTAGAAATGAATCTGCCATGACAGCTTACAATAGTTTGACTTGGAGATCTTGATATACTTCTTTGGTATAAATAAAATACGGTACTTGTTTAATCTTCTGTGACAACTTAAAAGGACTTAATAAAAGTCTTTGGCTATACAAAGCCAAGTTAACACATTTCACATTACCACATGTAATAGTTTTGAGCATGTAACACAAATTACAGTATTGGATACATTATGTTTTGGCAAAGTAATTCACAAAAAATAATTATTCAAATTGTAATCTATAACTCAATATTTTAAAACTAATGTGGCTTAAATTGCTGTAAAATCCCCTTCCCCAATTTTAAAAACTTTGCTCCCTTTTTAAACTTTATAATAAATAGATTTTTTTCTCATAGACCTGAATATGAGTAGCTTAGCAGAACAATAATACTGACAAATAGCATCATAACATCATTAGCTAACATTACATGGAGGCAGTGAAGATTTACACTTATATGGGACACTGTAAAGACACCAGAAAAGATTTATGTCAGTCCAATCTCTTCAAGAACACTACGAGGGGTCTCTGCTTCCTGTTGAGAGAGAGAGAAAAGAATTAACAGGTTTTTTTTTGTTTCTGCCAAGCTAGGTATATCATAATTGGCCTGCTGCCAATTACCTCCAATAGACTGATTAGATCACACAGATTAGGCCTCCTCCGAATTCCATCCACTGGCCAATGCCGTCTGGCGACCACTCGGAGGAGGGCCTTCTCTGTGGCTGCCCCAGCCCTTTGGAACGAACTCCCCGTGGAGATTCGAAACCTCACCACCCTCCAGGCCTTCCGCAAAGCCCTTAAAACCTGGCTATTCCAACAGGCCTGGGGCTAATGAGTTTTGTCCCCTCTCGAATGGTATGGTTGTTGTGTTTTTAAATTGTGGCATTGTTTTTGTTCGTGTTCTTTTTTTCCCTTATTTGTACGCCCCCCCCCCCCCCCCCGACTTGAGTTGTGAGCCGCCCTGAGTCCCCTTCGGGGAAAAGGGTGGCATAGAAATATAATAAATTCAATTCAATTCAATAATTAAGAAGTAAATTAATTTCAGGAAGTTACATCTCACCTTTTTTTAATAAACTGTATTTGATACACTTCCTGCAATTCTTTCCTCCTTTCTTTAGTCAATTGAATAGACTGGAAAGTTTATATTATGTGAAATGCTTATCATTCATAAAGGAGAGAAGGCAACCTACATAAAGTTGAACTCCCACAGGCGCTAGCCACTTTGATAAATGTGAATGTTTGATCTGATTAAAGAATTCAACCAAAGTAATACTATTTGTGATAAAAATTGTAAATATTTAATATAGATGAAATATTTAGAAAATAATTGTAAAGGCTAATTAAAATGTTATTTTGGCTTGTAAAGTTAATGATCAATGTTTTAAATGTTCAATTTCAAATAAAATATTAAAGCAAGTTATATTTTCTTTATACCAATGTACTCAAAGCACAGCCAGTAATATTTGTATAAAAGCACTTACTTTAGCATCCTAAAAAGGTATAGCCAAAAAGAAAAAAAATCAGAATTTTAGCAATATTTCCATATAAATGCAACAACTTTGTAAGAACATGAGAGCCCGCTTGGTCTAGTGGTTAAGATACCAGGCTAGAAACACCATGACTTCAAGTCCTGCCTTAGCCATGAAAGCCAGGAGGGTGACTTTGGGCCAGTCACTCTTACTCCAACTCACTTCAGTTGTCGTGGGGAAAATATGAAGTGGAGGTGTGTTGGATGATTGTCACCTTGAATTTTTTTAAAAAAAATAGTAAAGGTGGGATGTAATAAATAAATAAATTAAAATTCTGAATTCCCAAAAGGCACTATTGTAACACCTCTGAATTGTATTAACTAGCAGCAAGTGCTCCATTTAGAAATTATTGTGCTGACATATATAAATTTGATAACAGGATTGGATTTTATCATAATTTTGTTATGAAAAATAAGTTATTAGATTCATCATTCTGAAGATTCATCATTCAGCAGATATACTACCAGGGAATGCATCCTCATTCATTATGCAAACTTCCAAAAACAAGATTGGCTTAGAGGACGGACAGATGCCCATAACGGTTCCCTTTCAAGGTCGCCACTTGATTCTAGCAATTTCTCATGAAAGTTAAGAGTTGTAATCCAATAAATGAAATATAGCTGGATTTCACCTGCACTAATAGATATCTTTATATGAAGTCTAAATCAAATTGAGTATTTATTACGGCCATAGGCCAGCATAATATAAAAAGCTACACTATTTTTATCTAATAAGAACCTGCATACCCTTATAACTATGCATTTTTGCATCATAGCAGTAAAAAATGTGTTTTATACATTTTATAATGTACCATGAACAATGATACAGCATACCCTAAACAAGTCTGAATCTCAAATATTACTTGGGGAAAGTAGCTGTACCATTTAAGGGGTATAACATAATAACTCTTTGGAAATGTGTAACTTTTTAGAAATAGCTGAGTTTAATCTTTTATCAGATGGGTTTCATATGTCTGCAAATTAGAATTAAATTCCACAAATATGAATTATTTCACAGCAAAGAAATGGAAGGGAAAAAAAGCCAGTCACATGAGAAGTGCATGCAATAGTTTATTAGAGTCATGCCCAAAAAAATTCACAGTAATTTACAAGCATGCAGCTACATAAAGGTGCAACAATACTGCACCACTCCATTTGCAGCAGTTTGAAGAGCAGGACATTAAAAGAATGCAAAGCAGCATTTACCATGTACATTCACAGAAGCAATACCATATACATTCAGAGGGAAGGAGAGATCTGCAATATAAATGCTTCTTGCATGCTTCCCAGATGTAATGGGAAGTAACATTAATTCCCTATTTGAAATGGTTCTCTCTAGTATGCTGTATCTATATCTGATTATATTGCAGAAACCATTTTCTTTTTTAACTGTCATTTTGAAAGTCTAACTTTGTAACAACAGTCAGGTCTCTCTTTTTATTATGACTTTTTGTTTTAGAATAAAATCAGGATGGTTTTTAATCATATACTTTGGTAGTTGCTTCTGTACATTTATGAACGTTTTTATTCCTATTGTAACATTTGGATCAGCTCCATACATGCATTGAAGATATCCATATAAATCTACTCTAAATTGAAATTAATGGAATACTACATGCAGAAGGAATACTTTATGCACACTTTAGAGACTGCAAGATCAATGTACTTATTTTTTAAACTTATTTAGCAGTGAAGCAAATCTTTTTAATATACATGTATCACAATTTGTGGCCTTCAGGGTTGTTTTTCATGATAAGTTTAGAAGGCGCTATTTAGAAAACATTTTGTTTAGTTGGATACAGTGTATGTTAACATCAGTGGATTTCTATGTGAAAGCTGCATAAATTAGATTTATATACATTTTGATAGAATACTGTACCATGGGGTTGAATATTTAAATGATAAAGTGAAGCTAAGCAAAATATTTCAAGCTAAAGTTTTACATGCTATGTCAAGTGCTGAGATAATTTAAATACTTTAACATGAAAATTACAGCATGCTGACAAAACATATGAAGAAAAACACACATTACATATGGAAGGACAAGGAAAAATACAAACAGCAAAAACAAAACATACAACTGTGATATACACTAGTTTGTTCAAGATGATTGAATTCACCAAGCTGAGGAAAAGCGTTCTGCCATGTGAAAACCAGTTCTAGCGCCTCTCTGTATGCATGATGAATGAAGTCATTTAGTATACTGGGACATTAAAGTATTCATGACGTGGCTATAAAAGAAATGTATATTTTTTTTAAAACAGTACATAACTTAGCATGCATATAATAAAACAAATGGATTTATATTACTTCCATTTTTCCCTATTCTGAACTTTTACAATTATATAATAATGATGTTAGAGGTTTAAGAAAAGATATTTTATTGTACTGGATGATTTAACAAACTATATTTAATATCCTGGGTGGTTTACTTTAAACTAAGTTTGTAACAATTGATGTGTAGACTGTTAGTTCCAGACATCAATCATTTTTTGCACAACAGTATGTTTAATTACAGAAAATAGAATGCATATGCAATTTGCACTTTGAACAAGCTATTTGAAAGATGTTTCTGATGTTGTATCAAATAATATTTAATTGTATAATTACTGAATTTTATGGCAACAATTAATTTATGTCTAAATTATATTTTTCTTCAATGCTGCAATTATAAACCATGTCTTTAAGGGCTGCAATCATAACAATAAACTCATTCTTTTTAGCTATTTTAAAAATACCTGTATTAACATTCCAAGCTAGCTAGCTGTTAATCCAACTACCGTACTCAGGAACGGAGAACTGGCATCATTAGTTTCCTACATTTTTTCGTGCTTATCTTAAGAGCCAAAATAATACACCATTCATAATGCTAGTTCTATAAACTACTATAGAGACTATTGTTTTTCTGTATATAAGAATGTGAGGCTTTCAAGCATAATAATCAATATATAATGTTAACTATGAATATTTCTATAAGTCTATTTCAGAAATATAGGTTTTCCTTAAAATAATGAAATGGAAAGTATTCCTAAAACAGATATCCTAAGATTCAATAGAGAACATTTTATAAATTTCCATGTTAACTTGGCAAAGTACATTTTCTCAGACATCATACAAACATATTCAATTATCCTTGTCCTCCCCGACACATTGTAATTAATATATCCAAACTATATTAATATAACCAAACTCATAAAATTAAATACTCTCCACATGCCTAATCTTCTCCACAGTCTTTCAATACTTATAAACTGGTATAGAAGGAATACATTTTTTCCTCCAGTTTACCTGGTTGACCTAATAACTACATCACCTTAATATGCATTTTCATTACATGGATGCTCGGGTTTTTAACTAAAAGTAGTTAAATAACACCAATTGGTGTCTAATGTATTTATTTACATTATTCTTAATTTGTTTTATGAAAATATTAGAAGTTATAGGTGAAACCTTGTTATGTAAAGGTTGAAAAGTGAAAATAAACTATCTACATTTTGTATAGTCAAAATCAAGCACTTCTCAATTTTATCTGCTAAAAATCAAACTCAAGTGCAACATTTACCATCTTTCTAGCTAGAAACCAGGAGACTGAGTTCTAGTCCTACTTTAGGAACGAAAGCTGGCTTTGGCCAGTCGTTTTCTCTGAGATTTGTTATTGTGGGGGAAAGAGGAAGCAGCATATTATGTTTACCAGCTTGTATTATTTATTAAAATAATAAAGGTGGAGATTATATATATATATATATATATATATATATATATAA